AACAGAGGTAGAAATTAGTTTTCATCTCTCGCTCGCAATGACTGTGATGGGGCTTAATAGGAACGTTAATAACAATCTTGACCCAATCTGCATTTAATCTTCTGTTGCCATGAATGGAGTGACAGCGATTTGCACAATCTGGTGATTTTGTGTTCTTTGCTTCATGACAGTAGCTATGTAAAATAGTTTCAGATCATTCCTCTTTTCAAAAGAAGGATTAAACCCATACTTGTTTACAAAAAAAAATGTATGTTGTTAATCAGTTTCTACTCAGTAATGTATTTTTTGAGAAGTCAAAACATAATTTTATAAACATACATAATAATGCTTTACCACTTAAATCCATTGCATCATTTGATTTTGATCTCCATAAATGGGTACTGTTAGAAGAAAAAAACAACAACAAACTTGTAAGAGGAAGATAGGAAGATAAAGAGACACATTTATTCTATAGTCCTATTTATTTGAATCAGTTTCAGATTTACCTATAGGTCAGCCCTTAAAAAATTTGGCGTCTGAATTCCATTTAATTTCAGGAATTGCTATTACGAGTCTTTGTATAGTCCATCAGAAAAAAGAATTTTATTCTTTGTGCTCCACTTCTCTCTCACAATAGAGACATGACTGTAGATATCACAATCTGTTATTTCAATATTACTTTTCATTTAGAGGATTGGGGTTGGGGGAGAGATATTTTTGTAGATTTCATTTAAATATGGCTTAAAATGAGTGAAATGTAGAGTTTTCATGTGTACATAGATTTATTCCAGAAAATATATCCCTGTAGACTATTTTTTCTGTTAACATTGTTGAGATAAAAAAACACATCTTCAAATTGCCGAGTTCAGTTTAAACGCCACCAGGGAGACATTTCCATTCTTTAAGTTGCACTGCCCTCTGGGGGAGATGATCTTCAGATGTCTCTCCATATCCAGCTCTGGAGAACAAAAGCCTTCCTCACATTTCTCCTTCAGTTTTGAAGGCTGAGCATTGTGCCTCCACCAAATTTTATGCAGGTGGTTGGCATGATTTTTTGCCATTGTCGCACAAAGATGGGAGAGGCCCCATGGCAGTGACCTTTTATTTGCTTTTTATTCCCTTACACGTGTTCTCTTTTTCGTGTGTGCGCTTAGAAATCTCGTCTGGGAAGGCCTGGAAGTACTTTTTCTGAGACTTGTGGATGCAGGGTAGTCTATCCACGGTGAAAAGACTGATGTTGCTGTACCACAGCGCTGGATGCTTCAGGAGGCAATGCCCTAGGTCCTGGAGAAACGTGCTCATGGCTTCTGTACAACTGAAGGAGGACAGAAAATACATCAGATTCAACACTTTTGACAAAATGCTTTAACTCCTGCTGACACAGTGCACGTTCCAAACACATACATGGACACTGCCTAACTGTACAGAGAGCTGCTGGCCTCACGGTGCACACGTGGCACACACGGTCACAGTCTGTACCCCTGGCCCTTCTTGAAAGCCTTACAGTTTATTCCGTGTATGCCTGGCAGTATGTTGTGTGTATGTTTCTCACCTTCTGCTTGTTGGTTCCTTCTATCCTTCAAACAACAAATCCAATGAATGGTAACTCAATAGTTGAGGGCAGGAATTCACGGCAAGAAGTGTGGTCTCCCTCAGTGCCAAGCAGGCAGGAAATTTGTCCACCTCTTGTCCAGAGCCATTTTCAGGATTCTCTCCCTCTCACTGTTTACCAGTGTGTTGAACCACTAACAGAGAACTCTGGATGTGGAAAAGCCTTGCCTAAAACATACACATGTTTAGTGTGGATGTGGAAAAGCCTTGCCTAAAACATACGCATGTTTAGTGTACCTTCTTCTGTCTAGCTCGCCCTTCCTCTCAGTGGTCTGAGGACACAAACTCAGGAGACAAAATGGTCACCAGGGTGTTTCTGCTGCAGGTGAAGGTGTGTGAAGCCGTGTTTGGGATTCCCGACAATCCAGCACTGGGCTCTCTGCAGACCTGGTGTCCACTGAAGGAGCTGATGGAAGTTGCTTGTGCAAACCACAGAACTGACAGGTGGTCTCTAGTCTGAAGAAAGCCTCATTTTCCACCATGCATCTGACAAAAAGCTAGTTTTTAGCAAGAAGCTCCCTAACACAAAGGAGAAAAAAACCAAAAAGGTACTTCAGCTACTTGGGTCCTGTTATTTTCTAAAACGAATTCAGACAGCTACTCAAAGTACAATTTTCATATCCCTACAAACTCAAGAAGCCATCGGAGACAGATAGCTATCTGGGCATGAAGGATTCCGCCTCCCTTCAAACTGAATAAAACTGAAGCACTGCCATGAAAACAAAGGACTCACACCTAGCAACACTGCAAGAAGCTCTTCCAGTGGCAAGTGGACTGGCAGCAAATAGTTAAAAGAAACTCCAGTACAAAGGGAAGTATTTACTGTCATGGCTGAAGGCAAGCAAAGTCCTAAGCATTTCCATAGTAGCGTATGAACAGCCAAAATAAACCTCCGAATTCCCAAAGAACAATTTTGAGAAACTGCTGGCTTCTGCGCAACCAAGATTTCACAATACGATTTAAAGCTGTCAGGCAAACTGCATGACTTGAAAATGGAACAAAACTCCAGAAGAGAAGTTCCTGTAGCAGCTAGTTTCTTTCTTATGATTTCTTAGAAAAGATGTGTGATGAAGGAGGAGGAGGAGGACTCGGTTCAGTGAAGTGTATGTAATGCTTCAGTATTTTTCCACAGTGGATGCTCCAAGTAAGACAGCAGAGAGAATGAAAGAATCAGAGAACAATGATGTGATTTAATACTTTGAAGGAAAAGAGATCAGGCTAGCCTGGACAGAAATAGTCTGCCTTGGTTATCAGAGCTTTTTGTATGGAAAAAGCATGCACTGTAAAGATTGCAGGAAAACTGAAGCAGAAAAAATCAGTACTTAATGAAAACTCATCTTTGGAAAAGAGTGAGAGCTCCAAAGGAGAGGGAATGGAATCCTGTTTTGAGAGATTGTGAATTCATCACATGAAGCCAGCCACGGTGTTGGCCACGAGCTGACATTGAGCCTGCAGGACCTGTTGTGGTGGTGTCACGTAGAAGATGAACCCAGCACACTCCACTGTTTGAAATTAATGCACAAACTAAAGTGTTTGTTGAGAATTACCGCTGTGGATCTGCTGGCCAAACTAAAGGAACTCCAGCATTTTTCCTCACAGGTACCTTTTCCTCACAGACACAGGTACCAAATCCTACTTCACCACCAGCCCCAGTGACAGGGAGCAGGAGGGAAAGCAGCGCTTGCTGCCTCCTTCTCCCCGTGCCTCTTCTCCTTGCCACAGCTGCAAGTCCACTCCCACTGCCCTGCCTAAAGCGGGGGAAGGTCCCATGGCAGCGGAGTGACTCTTTGTGGGGAAGATGGTGCAGGCTCAGGCTCAGATGGGAGCTCACCCACGCCTCGACTGCTGCCTCGGTGCAGGACCAAGAGGTGCTCACTGGCCATAGACCAACGACAGCCTGGTGGCCACCGGCAAAGAGACTGTTTAGCTATGTACCCTAGCTGTTGATCCCATCTCCCACTCTCAAGCACCACCACTTCACCAATGCTTTTACTCATACAGACTCTTTCAAAAGCTTCCTTAAGTATTTGGTAAGTAATAGTTCATGCTGCATTTTGGTTTAGTTCATCTCCCATCTCCCACTCTCAAGCACCACCACTTTACCAACGCTTTTACTCGTACAGACTCTTTCAAAAGCTTTCTTAAGTTTTGGTAAATAATAATTCATGCTGCATTTTGTTTTAGTTCATTGTTCAATGTCCACTAATTTCTACCTTTCAAACTAATACCAATAACCATTTTGTTCATAATCCCCATTCCCTTTTTTGTCACTGGACAATTGCAGCCTTAAACCTTCAGCCTGTGAAAGTTCCTTCTCAGATTTTTCTTTTCATGTGTGATTTTGAAAAGAGGATTGCTTTTAAAATAAATTATGATATTTAGCAATATTCGTAGAAAAGCCTAACCTGAGCAGTAGCATGTAGTACCATCATCACTGCATACATTAGGAAGAACTCGTGAGTCAAAAATGTTTAATATGTAAAATGAAATGACACAGTTTACTCCATATGAAATGTTCTGCCTCGTACTGCTAAGTAGTTTATTTAAAAACTCAATTTAGTTAGTTATCCTTCTGAAATACCTAGTTTTGGGTATTAAAACATGCTTGACAAAAGTAATGGTTGTATTTTTCAGCTGAGACAGTATCCTCAGTACTATTATGTATGTAGCATTAAAATGCACATTTCCTGTTCTTTCGTTGTCCAGCTACTTTCTAAAGATTTTTGAAGAGTACTTTTTCTTTTTGGACTCTTTTTTTTTTTTTTGGACTACGTTCATCCTCTTCACAGCACCACCAAGGCAGCCAGAAGGGCCCTGCGGGCTCGCTGCCCCTACTAGTTCTGCTAGGAAACGTGGTCTCTAATCGATGCAGTGAAATATTTTTATGGTTTTATACGTTTGTTTTTTTTTTTTTTTTAATGGGGTGAAGCCTCCCTGTCAGTGTCGCTCAGCCACAGCAGCCTGCAGGCCCCAGCTCTGTCCCGGGGCCGGTTCGGGGGGCGTTGGGCCGCAGGGCCGGCAGCAGCGGGAGGCCGCCCTGCCGCTCCCGGCGACTCCTTCCCGCTCGAGGGGCAGCGCCGGGAGGCACCGGAGAAGCACGGGCCAACTCTTCACCACCTTCTATCCCTTCCACACCTCAGGGGAGGCGACCAAAACGCCGCCCGGCCGCCATTACGGGGGAAACCGGAAGCGCTGGCGGGGGGCTACGGCCGGAGAGCCCAGCGCCGGCCCACGCCACCCGCTGCCTTAGGTGGGGGCTCCCGGGCCGCCCCAGCCAGACCAGCGGCTCCTCCGGTGACTAAGCCCAAGGGCGAGGAGCCCTACCCCGGGCCCGCATGAGAGGAGGGCGATGGCCGCTCCGCCACCACCCCGCCTCCCTGTGGCCTCCCTCCGGAAGTGACGTGTGCCGCTGCCGTTCCCAGCAGCCGGAAGCGCCGTGGGGAGCAGTAAACAACCGCCTGGAGAGGCCGCGCCGCTTCCATCTTTGCGGAGCCGGAGCGGGAGCCGGAGCTCGAGTCCCGCCGCCGATATGGGCGGCGTTCTGGGCCTCTGCTCCATGGCGAGCTGGGTAAGGCGCGGGGCGGGCGGCCGCCGTGGTTCCCTTGGCCCTTCTGAGCCG